AGAATTAAAGGTAAATTTATACGAAAAATAACCTTTAAATAATACTGAGAATAAAACTTAAGATAAATAATGTATAAATAAAACCCATAAAGACTATAAAAAATTAAACTAATCTTAATTAGATGAAAGTCTTGATTAAATTTAATAATAAGAAAATCTAGCTGAATAAAAATTAAATAATTTAGCTGAAGAAATTTAATAAAATTAAAATAATTATAATAAATAAATGGATATAGAAACTCAAATATAAGTCTAAGAAAATTTATAAAAAACAAATTCAAACGAACAAAATGAAATTTAAGACGAAAATATTGAAGATAAATAAGAATAAGATTCATTAGAAGGAAATATTTAAAATTATTAAAAATACACTAATAATTCTGATTAATAAGCAATTTTATCAATAAATTCAAATTAAAAGCATGATTCAGATATAGTTAATGAATAAATTCAATTTAAAGTTAATTCTGATTAAAACATTTAATTTAAAGAAGATCAAGAAAACAAAAATGTAACTATATTATCTTAAAATCAATAAACACACAAAACTTAATAATCAAATAAGGAAAATGATAAATAAATAGATTAAAATAGTATTAAAAACTAGATTAATGAAAGTATAAAAGATTAAGAAGATTTACTATAAAATTTAAATGAAAATGAAATTTAGTTAAAAGAAAATGAATTCTAATCAAATAAAAAATAAAATATATCTGATTTAGACATTATATAGAATATAAAAAGATAAGAATAAAATAAAAATTTAAATAATTTTAAAAACTAAAATTAAGATTAAGATATAAATGATGAAAAACATATATAAATATAAGAGAATGAAAAAAGCTTAAAAAAATAATAAAAAGTAAAAATACATATTAATATATTATATAATTATATAATAAAAATAAAAAGATTAAAGAAAAAATAAATTAATAAAAAGAAAAAACCATAAAAATATAATAATTAGAAGAACAAAATTTTAAAAATATTGAAAACTTGTAATTAATCCTAAAATAAGATTAAAAATCAAACTATAAGTAATCTACTAAAAATCAAAATCTATTAAAAGAAGAATACTAAAATTAAAGTTTTAAAAAACTTAAAGTTGATTCAAATATAATAAATATAATAGAAAATTTATAAAATGAAAAAATAGTCCCAGAAATGTTACTATCAGAAATTCTTCCAGTATTTCCAAAGTACAGAAAAGATACAATTACTGAAAGTTAGAAATTTTCTACTTAACAGAGTCTAGTTGAAGGAACACTTGATGATTATATTAAAACTGAAACTTTATAAGAATTAAACTTAATATTAAATTATTAAATAAATCCTTTTATGTAAAAAGAATTAAAAAATGATTCATTAGAATAATATATTGAAGAAAAAAAAGATTCTATTAATAAAGATTCTAATTTATTAGATTTATTATCTAATGATTCTCTTGAAAATATAAATGTTCTTTTCAAAAAAAAACCAAAGGAAAATTCAATGTAAAACTTAGCAGAAAATGATGACTCTTTAGAAAAATATAACTAATAACAATAATCAAAAAATTCCTTTGAAAAAGAAGATTCTTTAGAATAATAAATATTTTAAAATGATTAGTTATTTTTAAATGATAAATAGTTTGATTAAAATTTAATAATAAAGTAAGATGATAAAGATTTAAACGAAGAAAGATTAGAAAAAAATAGTTCTTAATGTAAAAAATATACATTTTAATCTAAAAAATAAGAATTCTTAGATGATATTGTCGAATAATAATTATATTTGGAACTAGATTCTTTAGAAAAAAATCATGAAATTAGTCTTGATATATAAATTGAATAATTAAAAGAACAATTTTAAATTAAAAATGAAAAAAAATCTTTAGTTAATTCTATTTAAGATAATCTATTATTTAAAGAAATAGAGGATATAAAAAATCAAGTAAAAAATCAAAAATAAGATGAAAGTTTAAATAAAGTAGAAGACGAAGATATACTATTATAATAATTAGAAGAACTAGAAAAAAAAATTAGAAATAAAAAAAATAATTAAAATTAACAATTATTTGACTCCTAATTTAAATCCCCTTCTGAATTTGTTTCTTAAAAACAATCAGAAATTTATTAAAATGATTCATAAAATTAACAAAATTTAGTCTAAAATTATCAAAAAAATGATTAAAAATTAGAATAAACTAATAATAAATCATTAAGTCTAAAATTTACTTCTTAATAAAAATACTCTTATGTGAAAAATTTAAAATCAAAAGAAAATACTTAGCAAAATTATGATTAAATAGAAAACAATTGTAATAAATATGCTGAATAATTAAAACTTTTATAAAATCTAGAATAAACACATGACTAATAAAATGAGGAATAAAAATTATAAATAGACGAGGAAAATATAATAGAACAAGAAGAATAAATTAAATAGAACAGAAATTTTAAAAAAATAATAACATTTATTGATATAATAGAAGATAATGAACAAGAAAATGAACTTATGAAAGAATTAAAAGACATAGAGGAAAAAATAGGAAAGAAAAATGCATTATTAATCTAAAAAATGGAAAACTAAAGTAAATTAACATTCCAAGATTAAAAAGATGAAAAATTAATAATCTAATAAATTTCTGATTTAGAAACTTTAATAAAGAAAAAGAAAATAAACTTAATGAACTCTTATAAAAACAAAAAAATAGTACATTCATCATATATAAACAACAAAAGTTTATTTTCATAAAGAGACAAAACCTAAATAAAAACGATATAAAAATAAAAAAGAATATTTTATAAAAAATCATTAATAAATTATAAGTAATAAATTCCTACAGATTTTTCCTAAAAGAAAGTCCTTTTATAAAAAATATAAAATAATTTAATCAAAAAACTTACTTTTTTAAAAAATACTAGATAATTTTAATAATAATAATAAAAAAAAATTAATCCCAAGACAAAAAATAATATACAAAATGAACTTTTAAAAACATAACAATTCGAAAATTATTTGAAAAATTTTTCAATAGATGATGATCATTAATTTATAATTCCCAAAAAAAACGAAGACTATTTAGAAGAAAATAGTTGCTTTTCAGTAGAAATTTCAAATGTTTAACTTAACTCAAAAAAGTCTTATTTATAAAAATTTTATTTGAAGAAATAATACAAAAAAAATAAAAATTAATTTATTAATAATTTTTCAGTTTCTCCGCCTAAAAAGTAGCGTTTTATGTAAAATTAATATTATAATTAAATAATGCCTTTTACATCATTTTTCGAAAAATCTGTAAGCTATTCAAAAACCAAAAAATATAAAAAATTCATAAGTAAATCAATTAAACAATCATAAAATAATAGCTTAATAACTTTGAAAAATACTGAAAATAATCAATTATTTTCAAAATCATTTTATTCTATTAATGATTTCGAACATATTGCTTAATCGATTTCTAAACATAAGAAAAATTTAACTTACTAATAGATTAAAAAAAGAAAATTACTTTATTCTTTTATTTCTTTTTCTAAAGACCAATAATATCCTTAAACTAGACTTTATAATAAAACTTGCATATGTAGTAAGCCTTAATGTGTATGTGGCTATAAGATTTCCTAAACAGAAATTCTTGAAAATAATTTGCAAAATAACTAGTTTGATAATAATAATTTCGACATTAATTAGTCTGTATTTGATAGTATAAAACCACTTTAAAGTAAATAATGTATAAAAAATCATAAAAAAAATAATGCATCACTTTGAAATCATATATTGATTACGTCGAACTAATATATATTAAATTTTGTTATATAATTAAAATTTTATAAATTTGAGATTATTTTAATTGTTAATTTTAAGTTTAGTTTTTTTGTAGATTAATTTTTATTTTAAAATATTTATATTAGATAGAAAAAAAAAAGAGTTTGTTATACTATTTCTCTTAATTAATTAGTTATAAACAATATAATATAATATAATAAAAATGAATTAAATAGAATATGAATATATGTTTATAAGCCCTTTTTTTAATAAAATATTTTAATTTTAAATATTTATAATTACTAATAATTTTTTTTAAATATAAAATTGAAAATTTGATAACTTTGTAATTTAAATTAAAAATTTGATAACTTTGTAATTTAAATAAAAATATTATTTAATAATATTATTTAATTTAAAAATTTGTTATATAAATAACAAATATACTTTTTAATAAATATAAATTAAAATATTATTAAAATCAATAATTATTATTTTTTATTATATTAATATTAATATTAATAAAATATTGACTAAATAATAGTTTTAACATTAAAAATTATTATTATTATTAATTCATAAAAAAAAGACCATAAAATAGAATAAAAACAAAAAAATTCATAATTGTAATTTATAATGAGTTAATTTTTTACATATAAAAGTATAAAAGCGTATTGTTATTAATGTAAAACTGAGTAAAAAAAACTAATACATGAAAAATAAATAAACTAAATTTAATGTTAAATCTGTAAAATAGCCATTCCGTTTTAGAATGAAAGTTTTAATTCTTAGATAGTATTTATATAATTTCCAGTAGGTTAAAATTTATTTAACCCTTTTTTTACTTTGACTAATGAATCTTTATAAGAAAAATAATTCCTATTATTTATAAACATCAAAGTTAACGAAGAAAATACATATGATAAAAGTTTAATATTACAAAATAAAATAGAAAAATTAGAACAAAAAACATATAAGACATAAAAAATTGAAAATAATATAAATAATGCAATATGTTCTATATGTTTTGAATATTATAAAGAAAATGAATGCTTAAATTATTTATAATGTAAACACTAGTTTCACTAAAAATGCTTATTTAAATGGTTGCCGTAAAAAATATCGTGCCCAATATGTAGAAAAGATATATGAAATATATATATAGATATATATATATATATATATATTAAAAATTATTAATAAATACTACAATTTTATTAAAATTTTAAAACAAAAAATAATTAAAATAAATTTCAAAATCTAAAAAAAGGTATTAAAGCAAATTTTACTTTTTATTTATATTCTTTCCAATTATCTTTTCTTTTCAAAACCTAATTATCCATTATATCACTCATATGACAAAGCCATAAAGTTTCCAATATGTTACCTATGGGCCAATAAATCCATTGGCTATAATCTTGAAATATATTTGAAGGGAATGAAGAAATAGTGAAAATATAAACTCCAGCCCAGAATATAATTTCTCCAAAATATTAGGGATATCTAACATATCTTCTAGTCCCATAATCAGCAACTTTATTTGTTTTCCCATATGTCCTCCACCAAACAGATTCCTAATCGGCAATAGTTTGAACAGCTAATCCAAAGAAAGCAACCAAAAAGCCAACAAAATCACTTAGAGTGAGATTTTCTCCAACTAAATTATCATAAAGGTTAGGATTTCTAAATTAAAATAAAGTAACAGGCAAAGTAAGAAAAGAAATTAGTAAAGCATTCATAAAAGCAATAAAAGGGCTAAACCATAACCAAAAAAAAAATCTTTTTTTTCCACCATAACCTTTGAATTCTATCGTAGTTATTCTTTTATCTTAATCGGGAAAACCTTCCCATTTTCCAAAAATATGAGTAAATAATCTTACAGACCAAACATACATTAAAATAGTTAAAATAAAATTTTTGCCATTAAATTCTTTGATTCCATACCCTGAAAAATGCTAAATTAATAAAAACTTAGATAAAGGTCCTAATGAATAATATGCATCATATATTTGAATATTATTCCAAAAAAAATTAAATATAGCTAATACATATACAAATGTTATATCAAAGGCTATATTGCAAAATAATAAATTAACTTTTCCTTATTAGGCTTCGAAAAAACTCTAAAACATTGCCCAAGCACAAAATATAGAAAATACTAACTAAAATTATATTATTATTATTGAAAAAAATTTCATCATTTTTTTTTTAATTTTATTTATATCTTTTATATATATATATATTTTTTTCTACAAGATAATATCAGTTTTTAATAATGTATATATACTTATTATTATTTTTTTGATATGTATTATAGTATTTTCTAAAATATCAAAAAATAAAAAGTTAATTTAAATTTTTTATTTAATATCAATTAATAATCTAATATTTTCTTTTTTTTTCTTTTTTAAACATTAAATAGTTATTAAAATTTAAAATAAATTTGACTATATGAATTAAAGTAATTAAAGTAAAATATATGTGTATCTTTTCCCCAAATAAAATAAAAAAAAATATATTTATAATATTTACACTATATCCAATTAAATAAGGTAAATGAATGAAATATTCATTCAAGTGATTTTTTACAATTTTATTATATAAATTTTTGCTATTTAATATTTAAATTAATCAACATAAAATAATATATTAAAAAATTATCTATATTTGCTATCATTTTAATTAGATATAATTTTTTTTTTATTTAAAAATATATTTTCATAAAATTTATAAAATATATTAGACCATATAATCTATTTACTATATTAAATTTTTTTAATTAATATATCAATATATCTTAAAATATATGTATTTTTAAATATTTTTTTTAACTTTTAAAAATTATTATATTCTATTTTCAAAATCATAATTTTTTTTTTAAAAAAAAAATTAAATAATTAAAAATTAATTTTTTTTTATAATATTAAATTAATAGTAAATATAAATATACTATATACTATTATGATTTTAATAGAAGTTCATATAAACTAAAATATAAAAGAAAATATTAATAAATTAAAAAATTATATATATATTATATTAAAAAGAAGATTAAATTTAAATAGAATTATATTTTTTAAATTAAAAAAATAAAACTTATTTTAAAAAAATTTAAAGTAAAGACTTATATTTTAACAAAAATAAAACAAAATAGTTTAAAGCAATAATAATAAAGTATGAGTTTGCAATATTCCAGTAAAGCCGATATCGATGTATAAAATATATCTATATGAAAAAACAAAATATATAATAATAAATAAGTACTTAAAATAAGATGAAATCGGTAAAGTAATATGTAAAGGATTGGCTTCATTGTATTTAGAAAATCCAAAGTTTCCTGTAGATTATTTAGCGAAATGGCTATTGAATTATTCTGCATCATTATCAAATGAGAATAAATTAGAAGGAATATTATAAGAAAAAGAGGTATTAAAAATGTAACATTAAGAATAATTAGAAAAGAACAGATAAGAATAGGAAAGAGTCCAGTAATTAAAGCTAAAAGATGAAGAAATCGATAATAATTTTGAAGAAAAAGTTAGAAATGAAGAATATCATTAAGAATTATTAGTAAGTGAATTTCCCAACTTCTTAGAAAAAAGAAAAAATTTAGTTGGAGTTTACATAGGAATTAAAGACTTTCCTTTCAAACAAATTAATGAAGAAGATGAAGATGAAAAAGCTCATCTTGATTAAGAGGCTGAAAAAATTATTAAATATATTGGGTATTCCGATTCTCACAAAGATTTGATGTCTAGTAAATAATATATTCTTTAAAATATTTAAATAAATGTTTTAAATAGATAAGATATTATCAGCTAAAGAAGAAGAGAGTGTGACAGCAGCAGTATTTAAAGAAAGAGAACCAGTTAATGAAGATGACCAAGAAAACGCAGGCCCTCCTCCTCCAAACTATGTTTATATTCCTGATCTAGTTAAGGAACCTAGAATGACTTATTTCAGAATACCTAAATTAGGCTCTTATATTGCATTCCCTTTAAAATATAATAGTTATTTAAAGGTAAGCAAATATTAAAAAAAAAAAAAAAAATTAAAAAAGGAAGAATTCTTTAATGATGCGTTATAAAAAAGATAAGAATATTAATAAGAATTAGAAAAATGGACAGTAGAAAAAAAAGAGAAAGAAGAGGAATTTTAAAAGGAGATTGAAGCTTTAGAAAATGATGAAGAAGCGTAAAAAGAAAAATAGATTGAATTTGATAATTTTCTTGAATAATATCCAGAAGCGCCCAAAGAATAAGGATTTTTATTTGAAGCAAAAGAATATGTTTTATGTGCAGATACTATGGGTTAAGACAGAGAAATATCTTAAGAAGATATTAAATACTTAGAATCTTATGTATAATTATTTGCTAATAGTTGGGAATAAACAGAAAAAAGATTAATGAGTTAAGATATTGACAGATACATTTAGTACTTATAAGAAGCACCAAAAGATTTAATTGATTAGTTAAATGATGAAGAGGCAAAAGCAGAAGAAGATAAAAAATCAGATTATGACCATTTAAAAGATAATGAAAAAGAATACAATTACAGATTAGAAAGTGTTAAATTAGAAGCCTTAAAGGAAATTCTAAAATACGAACATGTTTAAAAATTGTTTTTAGATTTAAAAGAATATCGTGTTTTAAAATACCCTGTTATTCTTTAAAATATTTTATATTTACTTGGGTATACTATGGAGGAAATTAATATACCTAAAACTCATATTCTTAATTGGAAATACGTGAAAACATTATTAAATGAAGATTTCTTTAATTTGCTTGTTAATTATAATCATTAAGGCCCGAAACCTAATAAAGTTAAACCCTATGCTTTAATTAATAAAATAGCTACTAAAATCGAAAAGTTCAATTAATAAGAGATTGATGAATATAATATTGGATATGGAAGACTTTTCAAATGGCTTTAAGACACCACTAGACTAAGAAAAATTGATATTGAAGTTAGAAAGTAATAATATGCTGATAGAGTAGCTGAAATAGAAAAGAAAGAAGCCTAACTTGAAGTTTGGGAAAACGATAAATCTACCAAATTACAAGAAGCAAAAGATGCGGCAGCAGCCTCTGAAGATCCTGATAGTTTCGTTGAAGAAGATTGGATCGCTTAATGGGAGGAAGAGAACCCAAGACCCATAGTCCCAGAAAGAGTTGTATAGGATGTTGATGAAGATTGCTTGTTTGAATGATATTAAACATAATTATTTTTATATATATAAATGATAACACATCAAAATATAATAATGTTAGATTATCTAAATAAATACTTTATAAATTTTATTATAATTCCCTTTTTTTATATTTAATAATTACATTTTATTTTTTAATTGAATTTAAAT